AGGCTCCCAGCCAGGGGCGGATGAGAATTTTGTAGGGCCCAGGGCAGCACAATTTCGCGAGGCCCCCCCTTTGACACAGCGCAGGTGCAGTGGCACCATGGCGCATGCATGGAGCTTCTTGAAGCACGGGGCCTGGGGCAGCACCCTGCTTGCCCTGCCCTATATCCGCCACTGCTCCCAGCAGGGAGGCGGCCGGGCGGGGGGGGGGGCGGGGGGCCCCAGCCACTGGCCCCGCCCCAGCCAGCTTTTGCATGAGACCACAGGGCTCCCAGAGCCTATCAGAGCCCCTACGTCCCAGTTGCTCCACCGCCCAGCTTCCATCTGGCATCCAGCCAGAAATTCAGAAAATACCAGACATTGCACATGTCCAGTATTTTCTGAATTTTTCTACCTGACAGAGCACGAATACCAGACTGTCTGGTAGAAAACCGGACACCTGGCAACCCTATGCGCAGCCAGCACTTGTAACATGTGCGCCCGGCCCCAGGGCCTGCTGGCCAGCCCTGTCTCCTGAGTCCTGCTCCTCCCCGGCGGCCTCTACATCCTCCAAGAGCCTCTTCACTCCACTCTACCAGACCCGCAGCCTGGACCCGGCCAACAGCCACTCCTCCGCCTACATCGTGTGGAAATCCCAGGAAGGATGACCTCTTCCTGCCTAGGGTTGCCAGGTGTCCGGTATTTTGCCTCCTGTCCAGTAAAAAAAATTCAGAGAATACTGGACACCTGTGACGTCCGGTATTTTCTGATTTTTCTTCCACTGGCCTGGAGGCGAAAAGGCCGGGCACCTGGCAACCCAGAAACACTCAGTGCCCAGCCTCCCCCTCAGCCCCCAAGCTTATCTGGTTCCACAAAATGGCTCCCAGCCAAAAGACCTAGGGGAAACTCCCCTGTTCCTATCTATGCACTCACCCTTACAGGGGACATGGCTTAAGTCTTGGAGTCCTTTTTTTCTGCTCCACAACTTCAGTCCTCCCCCCCCCTTTTTTCCCCCTTCAACACATAATTGTATATGAAAAGATTAGACTCTTATATGCCATATTTTCCTATACGTGAACAGATTAAATGGGGTTTCTTAACTTTTATTTCAGTTGATGAAACTTGAGAAGTCCACATCATTTGAAATTCTTTAAACATCTTTGCACTCTGCTATCCAAAGAAACTTCGCAATAAAAACCTTTGACAATGTCCATAATAAAAAACAGTTGCTCAGGTTTTTCCTCATTTAAAGTCCAATGGCTACTAAAAAAAAAAAAAATCTCAACATTAGTAATCTAACATACTTCCATGGCTATTAATGTAGTATCTAAGGTCTCACAATCCTTAATGTATTTATCCTCACAATATGCCCTTATATAGGAAATTGTTATTCCCATGTCATAGATGAGGAATGGATGCACACAGAGACTAACTAACTTGTCCAAGGGCATGGGAATCCTGTTGCAGAGCAAGGATTTGAACCCAGGTTCCCCAAAGTCCAGATGCTGCACTAATTTATGAACATGCTTACTTTATGCACTAGGAGCGATCCCATCAACTTTAAGCGTATCTTTAAGTAACTTCAGAGTAAGACCTTAAATCAGACACACAGGTAGTGATAAGGCTTTTTAAAAATTATGCCTAGCAGTAGCTTGTCTGATGACTCTTGCTGCTGTAAAACTTTCTATGTACAGGCAGTCCCCGAGTTACGCGGATCCGACTTATGTCAGATCCGCAGTTACGAACGGGGTTTTTCTCGCCGCGGAGGACTGGAGCGGCGGGATGCCCAGATGCGCCGTGGTCCCGCCGCCCGCGTCCTCCGGGGCGAGAAAAGCCCCCA